TTTCACAGGAAAAGCCTCGTCTCCTGTAACTGAGTGTCCAATATTTATGTGAAAAATACTAATATATATACTTGCTTCTAGTTATGAGTGTCAAATATTCATTTTCTGTAGCAAATAGCATAGATTTTAGTGCTAGCAGTGTAAATAGCATGAAGACCAGTACAACAAAACAACAACACTATCTAAGCCGAAATCTTATGTGATCTTTCTCGTCAGCAAGTTAACTGTTTTCAAATTTACAATCTTATGACACTCAAGGTCCTTATTTTACCCAAACATTCATGCATATCTCAGCTTGTAATGCTTCACACTGCACAAGTAAAAAGAACCAAATTATTTTGCCAAGTTCATTACACTAACTCCTTTGCCTCTCCTTACTTTTTCACCATCTCAGCATGAAGTTGAACACAGAAAATAGGCCACCACTAAGTCATGTTTCAGGTTCAGTCAAGTTTCTTTATCAATATATCAAATCTGAATCTGAGTGGAATGATACTTAATTGCACCACACAGCATGACTGCAAAAAAACTCAAGCATGGAGGAAAAAAATATTGCCTCTACCACAGTCAAAAACCTTTGCAACTGCTTTCAGGAGTCCCAGAGTTAAGAACATATAGTTTTCATACTATCCTTGATTTTGGTCTGGAGCACAGAGTGTCTCAGTCTCTCTCAGACATTTCAGATCAGGCTGTGTAACAGTTATCCTGAAGGTAGTCACATTTAATCCAAAATGGTTCCAAATTGTAATAAATCTTATAGGTGGGAAAGGGTATAAAGCTCTCACCCTTGGTTAAACCCTTAACTGTATGTTTGAGATTTCTACTAGTTTAAGATAGGATCTATCAGCACTGCTATTTCTTTCAGACATGTACAGAATCCCAGCAGAGAAGCTTTTCTATGATCCACTAACACTGAAGTAATGGCGCTTTCAGATAAAGAGAATGGGGGAAGAGGTGGTGTAAAAAAAATTTCTGTAGTATTTTACAAATTATAAGCTAATGTTTTCAAATAAGTCTAGGTTAATAGGAATACCACAGTTGTTTCCCTAAGAGCTTTAGCTGCTTAGATCATTGAAGTCTGAACTCTGCTGAAGTCACTTTTAAAAGTGGAAATTCAGACATCCATGTTAATAAAAATTATAGATCCTTAAAATCATAGAATCACTAAGGTTGGAAAAGACCCACAGGATCACCCAGTCCAAACCAAACACCAAAGGGTGTTACAGACTTTCAAACTCACCTTGTTTTCAAGGATTTATGTATCCAAACAATTTGGGTAGCTACGTTTCACATTTTCTGGTAAAAAATGATGTTTATGTAGAAAACCTTTTCAGTCTTGCTCCTCAATATTTGGCTTATTTTCATAAATCATATTTATTTTTGCAAAAAAATGTGAGAAATTATAGTAGAAGTTCTTCAAGATGCTTCAGAGAGAATCTAAAAGCTGTGCATTTACAGGAAGCAGAAGGCAGATGCAGAGAAACCTAAGAAACATAATTTCACCTTTCAGGGAATATTGAACCAATACTCTTAGCTATAATTGGGGCCTAGAGTATAAGTGATTATAAGCAAGTTCATTCAGTTATGGTATTCCTGGCATAACTGAAAGATAATGAGTGCAAGACATTAATTTTTCCCATGGCATCCTTTTGTTGCTTCAACAGCTAAAGACTTTTTTCATCTTTTAGAATACAGTGCCAATTGTGATATCCCAGTACTAAAATGACAGATGTAATTCTTCTAGTTATATTAACTTTATTTAGCTATTTTTAATTTTATATATTTTTATTTTAAAATAAAGATGTATACTTTTCAAATACAATATTCCTTGACATGGCCATTTCTTTTTTTTCTTCCAGTTCATTTTAGATCACCATATTCATACCATTTGCTTACCAACCTCTCACATCAGCTTTTACAGCAGCTTTCAAGAAGGTAACCGATTTCATGTTTCAGAGCAATGATGAACCTTCAGAACAAAGGTTTAAAGCCAGAGATAGTTGGAAAAATGCAGATAGTGTAAAAATATAAATATATATCCCTCCCACAAAAATACCATCTCTCTGGGTCAGAATAGAATAGTCATTCTTTAACATTTAATATAGAATTTAAGAAAATATCCCTGAACCTATTTGTTTTTCTGAGTTCATACCCAGCCATTTCCCTGCAGGCTGATTTCACACTGTTATTCCAGTGAGTGACTGTATTTTCAGTGAAATTATCTGTTTCCTTGTGCTTTAGGTTTCCTCCCAGCCCTGGAGCGTTACTGTATTATGAAATATAGTGACACCTTTTTTTTATAGTGCTCTCCACAGTGAATGTATTGATAGGTAAGTGTAAAGTGTCTTCTATTTGCTAGCTCCTTTTTCAGCTACTGTGGATATACCCTTGACTGGAAGTTCCCATTGCCCAATCACATTGCTGTGCCAGTGTTTTCTTTGACATATATTTAGTATAATATCATTGTGCTAACATTCCAGGGTCATTGATTTTGTACTGACCAAAAGGGGGTGGAACAGCAAGGCACAGAAAATCCACTATACATTCTAACATTTAGTCTTTATCTTTTATTAGGTAGTGAGTAAGAGACATAAAAAGAACTGAGTCTGTTTACAGCTGAAATTTAAAAGAGACTTGTGTGAACAAAAACTTGTTCCATAGAGCACTGTGACAAAAGAGGTCCAAGAAAACTTAAGGTGTCATTGCGAATTAGCTCATGTAAGTAGTTGGAATGACACTCTTTTTATTTCTACCAAAACTTTTATTAATTCTGCATTTAGTACTGTGCCTCCATACATGCCACAGGCCACATTATGAACGGATCAGCCTGTTGATTTTGGTGGCATCATGACAACATGGCAAGATATACAGCAGGTGCCCATGTACCATAAGGCCGTACGTAAAAGCCTATAGGATATTAGTATATCTCCCCTTCTCCTGTCTGCATTTCCTGGGGAAAAGATTTTCTGCTCAGGCCTCCTCCCACCCCAGCCCTCCTCTGCTTGTTTTGCAAATGTTTAATTACGTAGGCTGTTACAGAAGGCTCTCGAAATATACGGTGGCTGAAGGAGCACATTTGGAAAACCAGTGCCCTACTTGAGGAAGAATCTGCACACAACTGGCAATGGCACTACATCTTCTGCAAAAAAGAAAAAAAGGAAGGTTGAAACTAGTTTTAAAGACCAAGGCTGAGAGTTTTTAAAGAGAAGTTTCACCTTACAACACAATGTTTATGTACCCAAATAAGTGGAAAGATTTTCTAAATTCTGTGTGATAGCACAGCTTTTGAAGGCTGGTCTGCCTCTTAACTGGGAGCTGTAGAGTAGGGAGCCCTTTTAGATGTCAGCCCCCAGTTACTTAGGTGCCTAAACTCTTCTCTTTTTGGAAACTGGGCAAAATAATCCAGCTAATAACCAGCCCTGACACATCTATTTCACATCTATTTCATGGCTACATTGGAGAGAATTACATATAACCAAAAGCCTACTTCATTTCAAGGCACAAACATTTGCAAATAAACTGGATGAAAAACATATACATAATATAGAAATTATTTTAATAATTCTAGATAAATAAATGCATCTCTTTGGAATTCTTTGGACACAGACATCCATGGAACCTCTTTCTCTCTTTTTATATATATATATATAATATATATTTATAAAATCTATATGCAGAGAGGTTTAAAAAATGGCAAATACCAATGTATATGGAAGGCTCACTGATGAACTGCAAGTCAAAAGTGCTGTATATTCCCATCCTCTATATCCCCCACCTGCCCATATTAACCACAGGCAGTATTATATAGCAACCACATGGTCAATATTTTGCATTACTACCATTTAATAGAATATTTTAAATCATTTCCCAATCTAAACTTAAATTAAGGTTTTAATTTTTATTCCACCTAAATGTATGGTAGGCATTTCACTTAGCTACACATCAGAGTGGTCACAAGTGATTCAGCAACACACTCCATAATATTAATAGATACTTTTCAGCTCTCTATGGGAAAAAGCAGGCAGCAAGAATCAGATTCAAGACAGCTATTTTTTTTCTCTGCTGTTTGTTACTTACCACTTAATGACTCACATGTGAAACTCAATGGTTATATAATTATTTTATATAGTAGATTTTCTGTTTATAAGTTATTTTTCTTACTCTAACATATATACAATATATCTATATATACCCCTGATAAATCTTATTTTAAAGGGACACAGTCAACCCCTTTAAGCCTCACAGTAAACATATAAGGCTTTACGCTGTCCATACATAATGGTCAGCTACAGAATTCAAGGGTCCCTTCAGCTCCTAAAGGTTGTATTTGTTCCAAACCCACAATGTGCAGTTATCTCATAATATGTATCTTGTGTTGCTGTTTACATTTTATAGGTATACTAAAACATTTTATATCACATCAGTAGGAAATAAAACAAGAGAATAAATCTGTTTCTAAAACTAAGCCTACTGCAAAAAAAATATTACCTGTATCTACAGACACTCCCACTGGTATGATATAAAAAGAATATGTGCCATTCTCAGGATGAAATTCTGGCTACCCTGAAGTCAGGAGGAATTTTATACTGACTTAAATGAAGCCAGGATCTCTCTCTTGATATTAATTTGCTAGGTATGACTATGCATATCCCATTTGTGTCTTCCCTCTGCTCAACACTGAAGTGTCAGGCCTGTTTCATAACAAGACTGTATTTTTTGCTATCCACTGGCCTTAAACTTTGATCAAGTACTGTATGTATTACACAGTTTGGATTAACACACACTGTACACATATGTTCTCATTTAAATAGAAGTTTGATCTATTCTGTGTACAGCATTTTAATTTATTTTCCCACTAAATTTTCTTGATCATTTATCTTATCTTAACCATAAATTACCTTCATGCCCGTTCTTCAGCAGGTGAGGAAAACAATTTTTTCTCACCAGGAACAACTCCCCATTATTGTCTTTTTTTTGTGTGTTTTTTTTTTGTGGTTTTTTTTTTTTTTTTTTTTTTTTTTTTGTGACATACTTTGTTCATTTTAACTTTTGCAACGCAGTTAGAAACCTAGTGGCATAGATAGAGACACAATACTACTGTTTTACAAGACATCTATTGTATCTACTTTTGTTCAGATAAATACCCAGTAACCGCTGATTTGGCAGGAGGATTGGTAAGGTACTACTATTCACAGTGTTTCTTTTCTTTTCCTTCTTCTTTAATCTACAGAATAAAGTATTTTATATACATTGGAACCAGTTAATGCCCTTCAGACAAATTTGTAAGTTGTTTCATAAAGCAGGAAAGACATTGCAGGGAAATATGTGCCAAAAAGCACAGTCAAAAGGCTTCGTTTATATATCACTACAAGTCAATGCTGGAGATCAGTTCTAAAACGATCAATACTTAAGAGGAATGCTCTCATCTGGAGAAAATACTGCCCATTCCCCCATTTAGAATTTGTTCAGTTCTCTATCAAAAGTCCTGGCTCTTCATATATACTTTAAACTATAAATAAACACTGCATAGTTCAATGTTCTTGGTTTTCTTTTTTGTTTGTTTTGATTTGAAAAATTATTGCAGTACAATTATTTCCTGTTTGGAGTTCAGTAAGGAGCAAACAGCACAGGAGTATGGGTGGTCCGTATAGGCCCCGGAGCTGGTCGTAGGAGTGCTGGAGGAAGTGCTGAAGTCTGGAAAAGGGTGGCTGCTGGGGCTGTTCGAAGACTGAAGGGGGAATTCACAGCCACAGCAGCAGCTGCTGCTGCAGCTGCTAGTGGATTTGGTAAGATTCTTGGTGCCATTGGCTTTGAAGGTTCCTTTGAAAATACTAATTTTACCTGTGGGGAAGAGAGAAACAAACAAACAGAGAGACATAATTTGTTCATATTAGCTACATGATAGGAAGCTTGACTTAAGATTATAAGTGGAAAATCAACTAAGAGAGGCTTTGTTCGTGTTATTGATTTTATGAGCTACAGGGTTGTGACAAGAGTTGCAATCTCCCACATTCAAAAAGGGAAGAATTTGGTAAGGGACAAATAGTTTCAGCGTTCCCTTGGATGTGGGCTCATGCCTTATCTCTGAAACATTTAATTTGATATGAGCTGAGAAATCAAAGCAAATCTACTAAAAGGGTGTTGGACAATCTTCAGATAAATTAACCCACATGTACATCGTAAAACTAAATAAGAAAGAATTAGCCATCAATTAAGAGATTTCCATCTGGACAGTTTTGTGACAGAGACCAGAGCAGAACCAATACATATCATTTTCCCTAGTGTGAAAAACACTAAGAAGGTACAGTTATTTTCAGCATTACAATCAACGTTCTACTTAAAAACACGATGAACATCTAGATCCTTTTTATTAAGTGCAAATAGTAATAACAGACAAAAAATAAACCTCATCTTGTACCAGTTATGAAAATGTCTTAAATGCATTTCCTGTGCTAAAATAGGTGATGGACTTTATGGATGTACTGCCTTCTGTCATGTGTCATTTGCTGTGTATTCAGAATACTGTCTTTAGAAGGAAATGTCAGAAATAACTTTTCACTAACATATTGTGTAATATTATAAATATTGTGAAATATTTAAACAGTATTGTAATGAAAAACTCTTTCTTATATAAGTTAATGTAGTGCTAAACTATGGGGTTTTTTTGTTACTGTCACTGAAGCTTTCACTTTAAATATTTATAAATCATGACTCTTGCTCAATACCAAATACAGTTTAGAAAACCCTTAGAATTTCCAAAAAGGAAATAAATAAGCTCAAGATTTTTCCAAATTAAATGAAAATACAGGTTCATTATTATTTGATTACATAAGAATTTATACTTGATATTCATACAAATGAATATCAGAGTAGTCTATAGATTTCTGCAGATTTTTATGAGATTTTAAGCTTCTAATGAGAAGCCAGGAGCCTGAATATTTTTGTTTTGATTTTATAACTCTGAGATGAGGATAGAGAACTCATCAGCTGACAAAAATCCCATCAACTATGATGAATTCTGGGTACGTTTGAGTCCTTAAAGGACTTGATGTCCTTTGCATAGAATATATACCTGAATATATGGAGTTGCATATAGAAATTGAATATATGTACCATTCTGTGATGCATCTCAGTCTAGTACCAACACTCTTCACTCATGGAGGAAAAGTTTCTCATCCTTGGATTGAAAGAGATTTTCAAATAATTAACTTGCACTATATCAGTCTAATATGTTTGACTCAACACTGCCATTATGAAAGGCTAGTCATAAAGAAAGGACAAGAATCATCTGACACGTACCATCAGCAAGTTTTGTCTCTATATTATCAATGTATTGAAAAAAATATATATCTTTAGGGTCTTTATCAGCCAGATGGATACAGAATTTTTACTTTTCCTAACATGCATTGGCAACTTTGCAGGTCTTAAGGTCCTTTAAAGCTCTGAGAAAGATATTCAGAGTTTTACATTCTCTTAACAGAGAATAAAATAGACACTAGATACTACAAAAGTCAATGATCTTAACAACTCCTGGATCAGTGTTATACACAAGCTGTCTTCTCTTGCTGAATGTTTGACTTTTTCTTCCTTCCATTTTCTTTAGTGCATTTTTTTCAGCCTCATTTAGAAGTTAAATAAATGAATTAACAAAGAAATAAACAGAAGAACTGAATACAAAGTATGAGTAAAAACAACTCAAAGAGTGGGGTTCTAATTGTTGTCTAGAATTCCATTCAAGGATGTTTTCCATAAGAACTATCTTATTGCAGAAAGTTTGGATTGCCAACTGCCTGGTAGCTTCTTTCTCTCTAGTGTTAGGTTTTGTACTTACTTGACATTTGTAACTTGAAGAAATATAAGCTAAGTCCCAACATTACAAGATTTTTTTTGAACTGTGAGATAGTGCTGGGGGAATTCATAAAGTTTTCTTCTCTGAAGCAGTATAAATGATATTGAAAATATGGCATTGCAGAGCTGTTGGTCTAGAAATGCTAAAAAAATGTAGAACGTCCTTTTCTTAACTTCCATAGGAAGAAAAACAGGTGATGCTCATTCATTTGTTGTCATAAAGAACAAAGATCCTAGGTGACTTCATGTTAAAAGGCTAGAACAATATTGCCATTCTTAGAGAAATCAGAAACTTCTAATGAAGTTCAACAGACTTTCACTTTATTTATCAACATGGTTCTCATTTCAAGATAGCTGTAATAACTGTCACAATATATACATATGATGCACGGTCATTTCAAATCTCTGTACGAGTAGTAATTAACATACAGGTCAAGATCAAGAGTTCAGTAAGTTTACTTATTTAATTTACAGTGAAGTAAAATAAGGTGCAGTAATGAAATGAAAAGTAAAGTTAAATTCTAGAGTTCATAAAAAACATTTATCTTAAAAGAAATCTTTGGCTTGTTGCCATGCAAATCCATATGTCAAGTGACAGTTATTTTGGTGTTTGTTTTTTTTTTTTAAATTCAAAATCGAAAAGCACTAAATGTTCTACTATGAATGTCAGTTTGCTTACTGCAAACTTATTTTCTTCCCTTTAAAATCTCTTGGTCTGTTTGCTCATCTCTGGTCTGACTTGTGTACTATGAGCACTTTAGAGTGAGGCAGCAAGAAAAGGACACATTGATTTTATCTATTCACTAATTGAATGGCCTTGGCTAGAGTTCTCAGAAATCACCATTACATAAATTGTTAAATAGGCAACTGTTTACAACAACAGTAACAAAATAGTTATTTTCATCCCCTGGGAAACAATTTCCTGAAGGAATATAAATTCTGAAAGAAACTCTAGTGATTCTGTACCCTACTTTTCTAATTATAATTTTTCTATTCCTTTCAGTATAGCTTATTTGTAGTGGAGACATTGGTCTCCCAGGTGAAATAGAAAAACCCGTGAGACTATTTCCCTACTAGTGAGTTCACCAAAATGATGCAATGTATTATTCCATAATATCTATGAAATCTCCAATGCAACCAAACAGTGCATGGATATACTACAAACAAGGTCTGCCTCAACAAGGACAAATTGTATCTGTCGAGAAAAGAATTTAAGTTCAGCTAACAGAGAATTGTACTCTCAAAGAAGAAAGTTCTGCATCCTGCATGTATTAAAGAAGATGGACAGTGAATAAGGAGTGAATCTGTATAAGGTCAATGAATCAACACCCTCACCCTGCCAAAATCATCTATAAATCCTTACAAAGCACCGTGTCACATAAAACAATCACACAGTTGATCTTACAGAGATAAATATCAGATGCTCCACTATCCCACCCATGATATAAACTGTTTTTTGATTAATGGCAGGAACTTAGCAGGGTTTTTATTAAAAAGTAAATATTATTTTCAGCTTTTGAAGCTAGCAAGAACTCTGTTTCACAAAGTTTATCCTGTTGGTTTGAAATGTGACCAGAACCATCCTGAAACTGAGAGTAATAAAATGAGAGATGGATTTTTGTTTTTACTGTTTCAATTGTTATCTGAATATTTTATAAATGAGGATAAAATAAAGGTTTTATATTTTATAGAATTTTATAGCTATTTCAACACCATAGCACTTAGTGAACACTGGAAAAATGCTTGACATTTGCATGTTTCTCTCCTCACTAGCTCTCTAATGACCTTTGAAACAGGCTTCTTTCCTAAGGTTATTCAGAGGAGCTACAAAAACAAGAACCCATGGGTTCATACCCTTCAAAGGAAATAAATTGTTTCCTGTGAGCTTTCATGCACTTCGTCAGACACATATTTCCACTGCTTACACTTACTTATTTTAAAGATTCTTCCACTCTCATTTTCTAAACTCTCTGTACTCAGCAGGATTCTGTGAATAACAAAGTGATTGCTTACCCCTAGAGGATGTGTTCCCTTTTGGAGTTTGTTGTATGGGCTGTATTTAGGTTTAGGTGGCTTCCCAGCAGCTCTATCTTTGTGCCTTCTACTGCTTATGTGCTGTTAAAATACATCGGGGAAAAAAAAAAAAAAGTGATATTTCCTTAAGAGATCATTTTGAGTTCTTCCTGAATGCTCTCTGCAACAGCATTATATGACTAATTCAATAATGATCGATATTAGGGCCTGTTTCAGTTTGAGCAACTCCTTTGTGCACCACGCATTAAGACTGATTTTCAAAAGTGCTCAGTTCAAATTGCTTCCATCATGTCAGTGAATTTCTCACCTTTGTTAACTTCAACAGGACTTGAATTAGGTCAAAGCAAGAAACCTTTAAAATAATCTCTATCTCCTTTAAAATGATCTCTACCCATCAAATTCAATCTGCTACTGATTGAGAGTTTTGGAAGAATATTAATACCACAATTAAAAAAAAAAACAAAAACAAAAACACAAAATTGTTTAAATCCCCAAGAAGCCTTTTAAGATTTCAGTTGAAAGATGGTTACATATCAAACTAAGTGACAGTGAAGTAAAATCACACAATCCATTATCTTCTTCATAAAATCTATTAGATTTTACAAGAATGACTCTACACAAACTTTACTGCAGTATTAGATGTAAAAGACTCTTTTCAGAGCTGTGCTTTCACTTTGATTTTCATTCTCAAGAGAGTTCTCACAAAAAAAGACAAAGTACTGGACTTTTTTTCTAAAAGGAAAAGACAAGCATTGTTATTGTCCATTAGAGAATTTATCTTCCTTCTTGTAAAGCTCCTTAACAAGTATTGAATTCCAAAAGGTATATGGAATTGAACAGTTTCTCAGAGCAAACATTTTGCTCATCTGATGAATAACTGAACATAACTTAGTGTAATTGCAATTTAGAGGTCACGCTTCTCAGTTCTGATTAAAAAAAAAAAACAAATCCTCTCCATCCCACATTTCTAAGTAGGTTATTCAATGTTCAGGGAAATACTGCCTGCAACTACAAAGCAAATATCATGCGGTATACTAAATGGAAGGTTTTATTAGCTCTTGACAACTGTAATAGCCTAAAGATAGTTGCAACACGTTGCAGCTTACAGGTTCTATAAGCTTCTATTTATAAGCTTATATAAGCTTCTATACAGCTTCTCTTTAAAAACATGCTTTTATATATACATATACATACATATATATATATATAAAATAAATATAACTTTTGAGAAAACACATTGCATGAAGGAGAAAAGCATACCCAAATTTAAACATGCAGCATAAGAACCAAATACAAAGGGAAAATTCTAAAAGCTCCATTTGGATGTAAAGTATTAGACACGTGCTGACTGTCTTGGTACTTTATTACCATGAAAACAAAGAATAGCCAAGGATTCACACTCTGCAAGGTAGCAAGGTAGCTGAGTACCTGTTTCAGTTGTGTCTCAGAGTTTACGTGCACATCGCATATTTCACAGTGAAATGTTTTGTTCTGAAGGCCTGTGTTTCCTTTATTCACAGGTCCTTTGCCTTTTACGCCTGCCCGGGGAAAGGCTTTTATGGTTCCACTTCCATTCCGAGCTTCCAGCATAGTTTTGTGCTTAGTCCCTGGAGACATTAGAAATGGGAAACAGAAACAACTTTGGCAATTTGGTTGCATGCATTGTTTTGTTTTCTTTCTAAAAGAAAATCATATGAACCTCAGCTGGGTGCTACATGCTATCCTTGGAATATGCCTGTGTTTGTCAGTATCAGATTAATACTTATGTAATGGTATTTCACACCTGATATTTAATTATTAGATTACAGTTCTGTAGGTAGAACAAAGCAGCCACACCAATAAGTACTGGCACAATCAGGTGTCCTGATGTGAAGTTAAATGGGTGTGACTTTTCTCATTAACTCCTGCTGCTAATAAGACCTGAACTGTAGTTGCAAAGGAAGAATAATTTAGCTATTAAAAGTGCAGTTGCCTTTGATTTGTAGTCCTTCTGAATGGATTGATAAAGAGTATGCATTAGGTAGCTTACACTTAAATCTGTAATTAAATAATTAGTTGTCAAACCACAAAGGGGCTGAGGTTTCTGGCAGAAACCTGGACCTGAACAAAAACATGTGAGAAACATGGATGTGAGAAAAGTGCATTTGCATTTTTTTATTAAAGGTTGGACAGAAAACATTTGTGTCTATTGCTGTACCTTTATTCAGACCAAACAATTTCTTACACTGTTGACTTCTATGCAGTTTGTCTGTGATGATAATGGACTACTACAACGTGCAGGTGTAGTTTTCCAGTGATAATTACTATATGCATCACCTTGTACCTTTTCCAAGCATGCATGTGTGTGACCACATACAGTTTATCAGCACAGAAATAAAAGCTTGGAGGTTTATAAGTGTTCACAATAAAGTTTTGGCTCTCAAGTGGATCAGAAAAATGCTTAGGGTCTAACCTTAATAGGAAGGAAGACATACAGGTAAAATAAGTACAACTTTATGAGCTTTTAATTTTCACCTGTTGAAGATCTAGTATACAGCAAACACAGCACTCAAAACTGGCTAGGCTTTGTTTCTCATGAATACCAACAAATTATCATTTCCTTTTTAATTTAAATGTATTCTATAGGCACATAAACTTCCTTCTTTTTTGATTAAAATTATTTTTATTACATCATAAGACCATTTATCATTTTTATGCAGATATATTAGCATTGTCTCCAAATTTCAAACCTGAAACCTTCTATCTCTTAACTCCGTTCATCCTGCTGTCAGGCAAGCACTGACATCCAAAATCTGGACTTTTTCCATAGAACTGTTATAAATGCTCACTGCCACCACATTAAATTACAACATATTTTAACTCTGTCTATCACAAAGTAAATCAACAAAATGCTTAAAATAGTGACTATGGATCACAGCTGACTACTGCTGGAACTTACTGATGTTATTAGCTCTAACAAGAAGAAAAGGTTTAAAAATTAAGAAAAGCAGAAGTAAGCAACTACTCATTCAACTCTCATGCACCAGCTACTACCAGTTTATGAAGACAGAAGAAAAATATACTACCAAGTTGCTGACAGACAATATGGGGCCAAGAATTCTAACTATCATTGAACTCTGACTGACTCTGCCTCTTTCAGCCTTAATTTGTTAGATTTCAAACAAAACTAATGGCATTCATACTCAGTTTGCTAGCTGGCACAAAGTATGCAAACTCTGAACACCAAAGGTAATGAAGCATGAGCTGTCATTTAGCTCTATAAGGCTTGGAATCTACAAAAGCTAAAACGTAAGAAAATGGGTAGCTTGCATGCAAAAAAAAAAAAAAAAAAAAAAAGCTCTTCTTCCCCCTTTATGAAGGCCTATTTGCCTGTCATTTTTATTCTTTAATAGTTAATGAATTCCATGTAATTGCCAGCTTTCTGCCACCTCTTTGTCCCCTGCTGCAAGAGATCTAAACTATTCAGGGAAAGATAATTGCAGAGCTCTTGAGACAGAAGGGAAAAAAAAGGAAGAAAGCAAGCATTGCTCCATCTCACCACTGTTGTGCGCCTCCAGCTGTGAGGCAGAGTTGACAGCGACTTTGCATAGTGAACAGTACAGCAGTCTTTTTGCTTTTTCTTCCTCAGTCTCAACGGAAGGGCATGTCGTGCTGCTAGTGGCTGTCGTGGGGATTTTCTCCACTTTAGAGGTGATCTCCGTTGTCATAACACTACTCTTCCGGATTTCCACGGTTGTTGTCGTTGATATTGCTGGTGTCCCTGTGGTAACATCTGTGGGCAGAGGGAAAAGATGGAAGGAAACAAAATAAGACGTTGTGACCTCTGATGTTTGCTTACTTGCATCATAACACTGCAACTGCACAGAAAGCCAGATGCTGGTGATAGTATAACTAAAAGTATTGAACGAAATCTGACCCTATTCTTTCATTTTATGTGATTACTCCCATGTACCAAAATGCCACATACTGTCTCCTCCATTCTGCTAAGACACAGTAAATACAGAATTCATAAACTGAAAAGATAGGTCGTTCAGACTGTACCGTACAACTGAGAGATAATTCACCAAAAGTGGCTGTATAAATTACTATCATAATAGGTAGTAAACATTTAAATGCAGCACTTCAGACACATAAACTGCCATGATACCGTATAATACTTACACTGATTGATAGGCCAAGCTAAATTTTTAATGTTCTGTACTAATAGAACTGGAATTAAAATAACTATGTTCTTGTTATCTTAAAAAAAAAAAATAAATTGATACTTCAATTATTATCAGCCAGAACTATTATCAGATGAACTAAAGTAATTATTAATACACAGTATACATTTATCATGCATCCCTATCTATTATTACATACTAGTAATATGTAATAATAACAGTAATTAAAAAAAACAAAACAAACATTCTGTATCTAATACCTCCAGGAACACTAAAAAGAATTTTGCTTTGTTTGTCGGTGGCATGTTTAGAAAAACTATAAGCATATGAGATATCTAAATCTTTTCAGAAATCTAGTGCCTGCATCTGAGAACACATGGTTTTTCAGTAGCTTTCTATTCTGGAAGAGAGAAAACACACAATATTGTGGTTTGAGTAACATATAAATGACATTTTGTGAGAGTGCTAAATATCCATACTCAATATTATCAGTTATCCCAGCAAGCTCTTCTAGTCTTCAGATGAGTTTGGTTTCCACTAGATAAGTTGTACAAGGGGCTCCATCCTTGCCAAGGATACAAAAACAGCTATACAAATCCTGAATTCACCAAGAAGCTGATAGCCTAAACTCTTACAGCATTCTCACAAGCCTCTTTCCATCCCATTTTAGAGCCCAAGTACCTGGCACACAGATCTCTCTCACTGAAAAACGGAATCACAGTCACAGAATTACAGAGTCACAGGAACAAGAAGGAACTCCTGGAGATCATCTAGTCCAACCTCCCCCCTAAACCAGTTCCCTACAGTAGGCTACAGAGGTTAGTGTCCAGATGGGTCTTGAATATCTCCAGAGAAAGAGACTCCACAAACCTGGGCAGCCTGTTCCAAAGTTTCACAAAGGGAGAGAGATAATATAATATCTCTCCCTTTATAATTTGGTAGCTGGGTACTTAGCAGGGTATAGGACAGTAACCAGTGCAGAAGATAGCAAGTAAGTTACAAATGGAGAGAAGTGACAGAGCTTAAAGGGCAGCCTTTAAGAAAGACCAAGATTTGCAGCGCTTTTTTGTTATACTAAGCCTACTGAGTAGCAGCTTACCTCGTAAGAAATCTTATTTACTTTACTGAGACACTTCTGTGGTTGGGTACTTTCCAAAATAGTCAGCTCACACATCCTTTGCTGCTAGTGGTGCTCTGCCTGTAGTATGTTTTATTTATTGCCATCTATTACAATAAACAAAATAACTATTCTTTGGATTATAGATCTCAGTATGCTTTGTGATGCAGGAGGGACACATTAACTGATGCCTGCAGAGGTATGTTTCAGATTAATACTGTTCAACAATTTCATTAATGAAGAGCATGCCTATTAATTTACCAGACAATAGCAAACACAATAGGAGACAAAATTCAAAACAATTTTAACACATTGGAAAAACAGTCCAGAAAATTAGATACTTTTCAGTAAAGACAATTGCAGGAATCCACACTCAGCAGGATTAATGTGACCTATTAAAACAGGATGAAGATCAACAGCCCAGTACTGGTATTTGGTGTTTTTTTTTTCTTGTTGTTGTTGTTTTTCCTGTTTGTTTTGTTTGTTTGTTTTTAAGAAAAAGCTTTCAGTAGGGGATAACAAGACAAACACATACCACATATACCATAGTGTTATGCATAAGCTACCTGTCATACTGAAAGTGCAAAGTGAGAGATGTGTGAAGGCTTTTTTCTTCTTTAATCAGAACTGGAGGCCCTGCCTCCAATCTGGGGACTGCAAATGTCACATTAACAATGACTTGCTCTGTTTTTAATTCAGCAGCAATACAAATGTAAACCAACACAAGGAGGGTTGTAAGAGAGGAAGCCAAAACAAACCAAACTAGAAGCTTAGAAAACATGGCCTATTAATATAGAACACGAAGGGTAAACAATGACAACATTTTTTCAGATCTGCAGAAGGTAACTAAAAATAAGAGAATAAACTCTTCTCCCTGATCCCTCCTAATAGGACATGGACTATTGGATTACAGAAAGGGAGACTCAGATTAGACATCAGGAAATTCTTTCTAATATTAAAGCCTGTAAAGCCTTAGAATATCCTATCTACAGAGATACTGAAATATTGCCTGTTGGAGGATTTGGAAATGGTTGAGCAAATGTCTGCAGAAACAACCCAGTTAGCAGGAATAATTTACCTCTGAGGAAACTTCTAGCCCTGTCAGTTTCTATAAGCTGTATATTTTGTGATGTTTCTATGTATTCTCCCAAAACGTTTCAGAAATTATTATTTATAAAACCCAAAGGCTGCATTTGTGATGTGAATAGTCTGCCAGGCATTAAAGCATAGAGCAAAAGTTCCTTGTCAAGGTCTAATGAGAGTTGGTTTTTTTTCCTCAGAATGAGTCTGGATGTGGTTCTATTCTGAATGTACTGAGAGTAACAAATACTGTGCAGAGCATTCTGTTCTTATTTTTTAATATTTTATGGAGTAACAACAGTGTTTCAATAGAAAATAATATTTTGAAATATTAAGCCTTTTTTTTTTTGTTTGGAAAGTGATGAGTAAATGAAGCCTTTGTATGTCTGTCCAGAAAATTATTAATTTAACTAGTCACTCCTTCTCCATTTCAGAAAACATGTGCTAATGCTTGCGTTCCTTGAGTTGAAAGATGCAGCAAGTGTACTAAAACCCCACTCACAGCAGTGCATAACATTGCTTTTAAAACGTCTGTTTCTCCGTCGTAGGACTATCATACAGTAGCAAGTGTAGCTATGTACTTTCCTTTCAAAAGGAAGGCAGAAAGCAGGTAGCAGTAGAGAGAAGGAAGGAAGAGTGAAAGAAGGCATTAACATTCTCTAAAAATTGATGGCAAGGTTGGTGCTCATCCTAATCTTGCAGGAAATTAGATACATACATCAATCATCATTATCAGCTTTGCAGTGCAAAGGTTAGCATGCCTTAAGCAAAATATAAATCATCACTTCTTTATTTCACTTAGGAAAACCTGAGGCAACAGATGAAAAAAAAAAAAAAGCTTAAATAGTTGCAGTTTTTGTTCTGTTTCAAATATATGCCCTTCTGTATGTATGCTGATTGTACACTTCACCATTGAAGTGAAAAGAAAATACAATCATTATTTTGGTATGTATGTGTAAAAGCATTATTTTATACTAAAATTAAATTACAAGTGGTAATTGTCGTCAGCATATTCTCCAACTATCAAAACCATCATTATTCAGAGCATATATCCTGCTCACATGCCTTCCAAAATAAACCCACTATAAATACATCATATATGTCAGTAATGCAAACACATTAATGACATCAAAAACATACAGCAAAACCATCCATGTTTGCCTTGTAAAAGCTATGACGCATTTAAAGATGAAAAACTCCATCTTCTCATATAAACTACAGAAATTACAGGGAACACATTCTAAAAACTGTCAAGTAAGCTTAAAAAGAGGAAATTCTTCTGATCTAATTAGTGTGTGTTTCTTTGTATACATTATTCTATTGCTGCCCATACATAGTTTAGCATCCTAAATACAGTGTGCAGCATTAAAGGTATAAGGGATTAAGCAGAAAAAAAAAAAAAAAAAGAAGAAAAAAAAACAAAAAAAAAAGTAGGAAGGCATCGGAACTGATGCTTTCAAGACTGAATCAGCATTTTTTAGCATTGCATTATGACAGTGCTTTAAGTGCTACTTCAGTAATAAATTATCTTAAACCATGCAATCAAAGAAAATTTGCTTCTGGTGACGCAAGCTTACAGAACTGTGCTATTTTCATAACAGCAGCCTCCAGCAAATATTCGCTATTGCAACTGTCACTGTGTGACTCTGGCATAGAAGCAGATTGCTAATATTGCATGGAACTGAATTCCAGCAGCAAAAAGAAAAAAGAAGATTTCAGGATGCACAAGAATCCATTTATGCTTATGCTTATGTTATAGTAACAGACTAAACATTAAAAATAATTTTAAAAGATCATTAAAAACTAATCTAGCTCACTGGAAAAAATCAAATATTTATTTTGACAAGAAGATAAAACCAGAAGTAAAACATTTAGTGAGAATTGTCTCCTTTGGGTTATACAGATACCACAGTTCCACAGGAAGACTGCAAGTATGTGATTAAGGTCCTTTTAAGTAAGCAAGATTAATTTTATATCCATCTACAAAACTCATGATATTGCTTTAGGCTGGAGAAAAAGAAAATTACACCAACTTGTGTTTTTCTTCTGAGTATGTGAAAGTCTCACTCATCAGTTCCTGCTACTAAGAATTTCTTATCCTAAGACTATAAATAAACCTACAGAGAAAAGTGCTTTGACTTCAAACAAATCACAACTATTTATGAGCTTATTTTTGCTTCCACAATCTCAAGTGGCATGCATTTAAAAATATCTGACTTAGCACTTAACTCATGCATTCTTGTCTCATTTAAATTAGTGTTGCCCTTAACATAAAAGGATGGACAATTTGGCCCATAATGCTGTCCATGACGCAAATGAAAACAAAATAAAATTAAATTAAAAAAAAAGCTATGAAGTATGCTGTTTGTTATGCCAAAGAGAACTTGATATGAAGTATTTCATTGTAGTATA